ATTAAAGGGTCTTCCGTTGGAGACGGAAGACCCTAATAATAATAACTAGATACGATCTCGTTGCGAGCAACGAGTGGGTCTTCCGTCCGAATCTTGATGAGATGAGATAAGATTTTGATTGAGATTTTTATTCTTAAATAACGATTTTCCATAATCTGTAAAAAGACATTGAACATTGAAGACGTAAAAATCGACTTTTGGCCCCTCATGGTCCTAATATTAGGGGTCATCCCTTTTCTCTTCATATCAACTTAAAGGCCTCAGGACTTTGATCACTTTTTCTTCAACAACTATATAGAGATTCTTATTCATTTTCCAGTTATCTGCAAAAGAAATATTTAGGGGCCAACCCTTCAACTCCCTAACGGGGATGTTAAGCAAAACATGAAAGGTTGCATATTGTTCAGAACATTATTTTGAACACCTTTGGTTGGTTCAATATAACTAATCAAAATATTTCTCATTTTGAGATGTAAAACGTCAAAGATTTAGCATTCTGGCCCCTTGTGGCCCCTAATTATGTACAATAAGACATGAAAATCATAATATGTAGTTGTAGATTGTTGAGTTAAACATCTTTGCTTCAGTAATGTATTACAAAATATTGACTGCTAAAGAGTTATCGGCAGAAGACTTTTGGCCCTTTTGGCCCCTAACATGAGTGCCCAGCCCCTTTTTCTTGATTTTGTCTTAAAGCTCTTAGGATTTTGAACACTTTTTGTTCAACAACTATTCAAAGATTCTTTTCTGTTTTAGAGTTATTTGCAAAAGAAATATTTAGGGGCCAACCCTTCAACTCCCTAATGGGGACGTTTAGCGAGAAATAAAAGGTTGCATATTGTTCAAGACATTATTCTAAACATCTTTTGTCTATTATTACTTAACAAGATATTTCTCACTTTCGAGATATAAAGCGTCAAAGATTGAGCATTTTGGCCCCTTCTGACCCCTAATTATGTACCATACGACATGAAAATCACAAAACACAGTTGTAAATGGTTGAGATAAACATTTTTGCTTCATTAATGTATTACAAAATATTAACTGATAAAGAGTTATCGTATTAAGACTTTTGGCGCCTCTCGGCCCCTAATGTGATGAGTCAGCACTTTTTTCATGATATCATATTAAAGATCTCGTCATTCTGCACAAATATTGCTCAGTATGTCTTAACAAAATAATTATACTTTAAAAGATATGATGCAAAATGTCTCAAAATTTCAGTCATGATTCATGTCCTAGTGTGAAAATTAGCGACATCAATCAACCAAACTTGTAAGAGATTTATTAGGACCCGACACTCCAAACCACACTTTAAGTAGATATGTTTTTTTGCATAGAGCAGATTAATATCTGATTTGAATTATGCAAGTAGTTGTAGAGTGTTTCGGCTATTAAGAAGCCTCATCAGGGGTCACGGACATAAATCATGGTGTTTGTTTTAGGTGAGACCGGATTATCTCGTCACCTATATTCTTGTGTTTGCTGTAAGCCATGATTGGTTGAGAATTAAATAAAGTTTTGCATTCTGGATTTCTAAGAATGGTGTTCCAATATTTTAGAATTCGTTTTTTCAGTCCTTTAACGCAAGGGTTAAATTTAGTAACCAGTACTGTAGGGTTACGTAATGACTGTTCTTTAGTCTTTTTGATGATGAGTTTTGGTCGGTTTGTGTTGACCGTTTCCTTGATAATAGGATCAATTTCCGAAGTAGAGTAGCCTCGCTTTGATAAGTGCGTCTTGAAGTCATTAAGTGTTGCATGTAATATTTCAGGGTCAGTGGTGTTTCTTGCATGTCTAATGCATTCTCCTTTAATGAATCCTTTAAACACAGCTGGGCTATGAGCGCTCTGTCTGTGTAGATACTGAAAATTATTTGTTGGTTTGATAAACGACTTGATATCAAGTTTGTTAAAATTTTGAAATTTTTTTTTTTGAAGAGTTTTTGCCCCTTTTGGCCCCTAACATGAGTGCCCAGCCCCTTTTTCTTGATTTTGTCTTAAAGCTCTAATGATTTTGAACACTTTTTGTTCAACAACTATTCATAGAATCTTTTCAGTTTTTGAGTTATTTGCAAAAGAAATATTTAGGGGCCAACCCTTCAACTCCCTAATGGGAATGTTTAGCTAAAAATGAAAGGTTGCATATTGTTCAAAACATGATTTTAAACATCTTTTGTTCAATATTACTTGTCAAAATATTTCTCACTATCGAGATTAGAGCGTCAAATATTTAGCATTCTGGTCCCTTGTGGCCCTTAATTATGTAACATACCACATTAAAATTATAATATGTAGTTGTAGGTTGTTAAGATAAACATTTTTGCTTCAGTAATGTGTAACAAAATATTGACTGTTACAGAGTTATCGTATTAAGACTTTTGGCGCCTCTCGGCCCCTAATGTGATGAGTCAGCACTTTTTTTATGATATCATATTAAAGATCTTGTCATTCTGCACAAATATTGCTCAGTATGTTTTAACAAAATAATTATACTTTAAAAGATATGATGCAAAATGTCTCAAAATTTCAGTCATGATTCATGTCCTAATTTTTGACCCCTAGCGAGCTTCCATACTAAGCACTTCTGGAATATTTGAAAGTATAGGTACAAAACTATAATATGTTGTCTATCAGTCTTGAAAAGGACAGCATTCTAGCTTTTGTACTTTTTGAGTTTTTGTCCGGACAAAATGGTCACTAAAAATTCGATTAAAGGGGATAATTTCCGACCGGAAGTGATTTTTCGAAAAATAAAAAAAAGGTATCAGGTTTAGTTCATGATACATCATTCCTGAAAATTTCAAGGCAATCCACTCAAGCATCTCTGAGAAATCGTCTGCACAAAAATGTGTAAAGAAAAAAATAATAATAACTAGAGCAAAGCTCGTTGTAAAGCAACGAGTAGGTCTTCCGTCCTGTTTGACCGGAAGTAGCTTTCATTTTCAACAAAAAATGAGAAATAACGCCTAGAAATGGTTTGAATCCTCTAAAGCTATGTTAATTAATGCAAAAATAAGCAATTTTTGCTACTTCCGGTTTAACCGGAAGTGACGATGACGGACGGAAAATTAATTTTTATATTTCAAAAGACATATGTTACCAAAAAACTTGAAAAGAACAGCAAAAATACCAGTTTTTGAAGCGACGCCTGACGTATTTTGACGACTCAGATAGATATAGTTTGTCATTTTGAACAACTTTGCTTCTTTGAATTATTACAAATTCTCAATACTTTTCGAGATATCAAGTAAAAATTTTTGGCCCCTCTAGATCCCTAATTTTAGCGGTCAGCCCTTTTTTCGAGATATCATTTGAACGATCTTAAAATTCTTCACAATTTTTGTTCTATATGTTTTAACAAAATATTTACAAGTAAAAAGATATAATAGAAAAAGTGTAAAAAATTTTGAAACGCTCAATATGGCTTTTTTCAGACCATACCGAGCGTAAACGTGCAGTGCTCCCGGTGAAAGTTAACAACACAATGCAAATCTACATTTGTTGCTCTATCTTCCAGACAAGGTTTCATCTTCCTGTGATGAGCGATTTTTAAGAAGAGCGACGGACAAAATGACCCTTAAAAATCACAAAATTGCGAAAATTTTCGAACAGGAAGTGACGTCATCAAAATGAAAAAAATGCATCAAGTTTTTAATATGTTCTATCAGACCTGAAAGATTCATAAAAATCTAACGAGCCGTTTTCGAGAAATCGCGTGCACAAAATCGGGGAGAAAAAAAATAATAAGAAAAACAGTGGAAAAGAAACAAACGAATAACAAGAAGGTCTTCCGCTGAAGACGGAAGACCTTAATAATAATAAAAGTGAAAAAGAAACAATAGAATAATAGAAGGGTCTTCCGTTGGAGACGGAAGACCCTAATAAAGGTAAAAAAGAAACCTAAGAATAATAGAAGGGTCTTCCGCTGAAGACGGAAGACCCTTAATAATAACTAGAGCAAAGCTCGTTGCAAAGCAACGAGTGGGTCTTCCTTCTTAGCAATAAGCAAAAAGTGAAATGTTCAAATGTCAACTTTGCTACCATTCTTTATTTTTTTGACTCAAACAGCAAAAACCCTTTCTTAAAGTCTGATTCTGGAGTGAGCACAAGGATAAATAATCCAATGGTAATCTCTCCAACACTATTGAAACTGTACCTACAAAATTCATACAACCTCATATTTTGACTTTGATTTGTAGAAATATACTAGTATCACCTATGAAGCAATCATATTAGTGAAGTGTTTTATGTTACGGATAAAGCGGTGTTTTGATACATCATCAGCTAAAAAATTGCTTTAAAAACGTTTACACAGTATAATTAGATAGTATTATAATAGTAAGTAATCCCAATGTGTTACTGATGAACTATCTCCATTTTTTGTCAGGTCAGAAAAAGACCAATACTTTTACAAGAAATACAAAGGGATGTGTTGTGCAGACCTCCACTGGCAAATGGTGGTATCTCAATAAGAGTGTAGTCAAGTTCTCTGAACAGGACATTCAACAAAGAGATCTCTTTCTAAAAGCACTGCCCTTCATATGAACAAATTTTATTCCCCTACACTAAAGAATGCTCTGTGCCAAGTTTAACTTAAATTGTCCTGTGGTTCTGAGAAGAACATGAAATTTTGATGAATTTAATTCAAAGATGATAATGAGTGACTTTTATTTTTAAAAAAAAATTACTACAGCATTAGCTCACATGAGTTAAACTGTATACAGATTTAGTGCTTTGTTGACTTTGAAATATGATAAGACATCTCTTTGATCTTATGTTTGAAACAACATGTACATGTCCTTTGTGCTGAAAAATGCACATATGTTAATGGTGTAGTTGTTTGTGCCAAGATAGTAACTTTCCTTCCATAATACTGTAAAAATACACATATTATATCTTTTGCTGCTGAAAACAGAGCTTTATCATCTTAACCATTAGCATTGGTATGCCTTCCCTTAGAAACGAAAGACCTTAATACAGGTCTATGTAAACATGCAAGATCTGACACATTTAAAAAGAACATTTATTCCAAACTGAACATACTAGATTCTGTAACAAAATCTATTTCTCTTGAAAAACTGAAAGCAGTTGATATGTTCATATTTGTCAAATTGTGGATTTATGTCTTTTTCTCAAATCAAAATTCGAATATGCTATATTTAAAGTCATCTTCTTAAACTGAGACTGTTTCACATGACAGTTTCAATTACATTACGCTGTTTATACTTTGTCATCTGATCTCCAAACAGATGCTCTTCTGGCAAATCATGATCATGCTTGGCAGCAAATTTCAGTACTCAGATGACAGTCACAGTCACACCTATCAAAAAGAAATTGAAATTTTTCATTGATTTTTTTTTAAAAGTGCAACTTATAATATAAGATAAACCATCAAACTGAATTCAAAGATACTATCACATTTTCTGCATGTGTATTATTTATAAAACTACTAATTTATGAATATAGGTTAACAAGCAGTCATTTGAGGATGTTTTAAAATAACACATTAGATTTTCATGATTTCAAATAAAGGAAATGTACATTACTTGTTCATATAAAAAATTATTAGGAATGGTAATGGTTAACAGTTGTTAAATGATTAATCAGTCAGAAAGATGGTATTTGGTTATGATTTTTATGTGTCACGAAAAATCTATTTGTTAAGGTGTTACATTAGGCACAGTGTGCTAATGAAGTAACAAAAGTCACAAAACACTATCGCATAAGGAACGATGAGCAAGCGCAAAGTAAAAATGCAGCTCTAGCTCCTTTATAACACCATGCTATACAAAGTTTATGACAACATGCTAGCTGGTTTAATACACTTGCATGCTAGCATGAAGTAAAAATGCACTACAACGCTTATGACAATCGGCTAGTGTTTTTATGACGACATGGTGTCAAAAATGTTTCAGCAGGCTGTTTACACCACACCGTCAAGCTTACACATAATAGACTGTGTAAAGTTTTGTTACCATGGAAGCATGTTTTGTGTCAGCACAGCTGCATGTTGTTTAAGGTTGCCTTAGCCTGACAGTGTTGAGAACACTGTGTTGGCACATTGTTCCTAACACGCTGTTACACTTTTACAAATCGCCTTATCAGGACACAATAATTTTCATAATCGACTAGCCATGCATAATTTTTGTAAAAGTACATGGGTTACCAGGTGCAGATCTGTAGTCCTCCGAAATATTATTTGACAGGCCGGAGAGCTACTGTGAGTGCCACCCATTGAAAAAACTGTATATTTATTGCGCACAAAAAGTTGCGCTTGTGTACATGGAGTATGAATTAATTCTCCCAAATTCTTGCCTCAATTGCAAGAAAATTAGATTTCAAAATTTTCTGTACAATTCTATCAAGTACTTTTGTAGTTGTATCTACATGAAGCTTGTTGGACCGAATTATCTTATAAACAAAAATGACAGTATAATCTATATAAACAAACAAAATTTTCAATGATCTCGATTTCAGGGACACTTGTTGTGGAAACAGTGAAAGATTATGTTAGGAATACACCAGGGGCTGACAAATAGATTTTTAAGGCACTTGCCCAAGGGCAAGTGCATGGTCAAAATTTACTTGCCCTACCTGAATTTCTGCCTGCCCTACCATTAACTTATACTGTATTTAATATGTTGACGGTGCGACCGTTAGAGTGAGCGCAAACTCTTCTCATGTTTTAATTTAGATCGGACTCGTCAAACCGCACGTGACATTTGGTGTGTCTAGACTCTGACGTCACATGACGTCGTATGTAAGTTACAAAATACCAAGAAAAAAATGAATAGTGATGAATATGTATCCATTTAATCAAAGCAAGTAAACTTTTTGTTAAACATTTGCCGTCATTCTCGTGAGAACGCAACTTTACTAAGTGATATTTAGGGTCCAACCCTTCCAACTCCTTAATGCATTGTGGGTCAAAATTACTGCGGTAAAAAATTCTAAAGAATGAATGTGCAGTAGTCCGATTTTTCTCTTCGCCCAGGCGTTGTCGTTAGAGCTTCGCGACGCTCGCTAAAAATAGTTCAAAAAAGAGAAAGACAAATACTGAGTTTAATATTGGCATAAATATTGATTTTATTTTTGAAAATTGATTAAGTCACTTGCCCACGGGCAAGTTGTTGATAAAATTTCACTTGCCCAACCCTAAAATTCACTAGCCCCGGGCATCGGGCAGTGGGATTTGTCATCCCCTGAATACACGGTTAGTAATATTTTGAGATTATAGTTTTAAAAACATGGAGGAATAAATCAATACACAGCGCACTTTTTTGTGTGCAATAAATATACAGTTTTTTCAATGGGTGGCAATGTAGCTCTCCGGTCTATCAACATATTTTTTCGGAGAGCTACAATTCTGCAGCTAATGGGGTACATATAAATAATTTTTTCATTTAGTTTTCCAAATGTTTTAAAAAGACAGGGAATGAAAATCAATTTTCTATTAGTATAAGCTTCAATTCATTATAAGTATTTGCCTAAGCATTTTTCCTATATGACAGGGTTATTGAACTTATATTGGTGAATATATATTGGCACGAGTTGGCTTTTCAAATGCACGAGATCACAAGTGCATTTGAACAGACAACAAGTGCCAATATTCACCAATACATGTTCAATAACTCCTTTACTAAATGGCTAAAACGTTTCCCAGACTGTAGAAGTACATTTTTCCGCGTTATATTAATTAACTCCTGTACGCGGTCTCACATTTTCCTCGGAAATTTGTAAATGTAAGGCATACAGTGACTGTCTAAAAAATCTGCATAATTTTCTATCCACAGATTAAACAGAAATTGAGATTCCGTGGAATTATGACCCCGTGGGAAAAAGTACATCTATAGTAATTTATGATAATTATTTCAACTAAAAAAACTCAAATTAATGATTTTTTAAAAATAGCGTTATTCAAATTAACGTCTGTGCTGTAAGCGTTCAATATAACATCATTCTGATCGACTCAATTGAGTGATATGATTTGCTTATTTAGGTTTTAATGGATCTAATACGCACTAAATTTTTAGTAAATAATTTCATTTTGTGTAAAAAATAAACACATCTTATGTAAATGCCACTTAATTTCATTAATTTAGCTCTGAGGATTTGACTAGACAACTTTTTTTGTTTACAAGGAGGCGTTCAATATTGAACGCTTGTATTCGGAATGTTTCGGGCATACTTATATACGCTATACAAGGCAGCGTTCAATAAAACATCAACGTATTAAACGCTAAAATTCTCTAGATTCTTGGTTGTATTTTATTAGATACTAATTATTAGCTATATAATAAAACCCATATACATCATTGTCTGTTATGGTAGCCTAGTGGTAGGGCATTCACTTTGCAAAATCATGAAGCTGGGCTTGATTTTAATTCACTGCATCAAATTTAAGACAAAAACATTTACGCAGTAATGTTCCTTAACAATGCACCCGGCATATAAAGTGAACGAGACCTTAAAAACCTCACAGTACATGTTTACTTAGGACAATGACCCTGAGTTCTAAGTAAAGGTCTAAATTGATGCTTTTCAACAATATATATTAACATCTCTAAATATGTGAATGAGTGAAATTCTCAAATAAATATTATCAATCAAAGTATCAGTAAGAAGCTGATCCTTACGTCGCAGGTTCCAATCCCATTGCTAAATGCTTGAGACAGGATACTCCGATGAGACTGTATAAACCAAGATTCTGTGTCACGGTAGGTGTTGGCACAAAAAGGATCCCATACTTCTCAAAGGCAGTAAGTGCTGAGTACAAGTCTATATTTGCAGCTAATACTATCCCAAGTGGTGGCACCATAAAATAACTGAAAAATGTTTGATAGGCCAATAAACAAACAAACCATTCCTGCAGTCTTATTGTACAAAAAAGCAAACTTTCTATTATTACAATTTTTTTCAAACAAATTTCTTTTGCTTTTTAACTGAGCAATATTTGTCCTTTTCTTGTCAATAAAGTATGATATTAATTAAGACTTTTTGAGAACATCTATTTATAGCGAGTCCAGACAGCAGCACAAATTCCTGCTCATAATGCGAGCTCTTATGATAGCACCTTGGCAAAAGAAGATTGTGACTTGCACATTGATCCATACAATTTTTCCGCAATTAACTTTGGACCCACAGTGCTTTGCTTCTTTAACATGTTTAAGTTACATTCTTGTAAGAATTAATTACGAAAATATTCCAAAAAATAAACTCACTTTAATTTAATGGATAAATTGAGATAAATAGTGAATAAAAACATTGCTCTGACATTAAAATCAGCACTTATATTCAAGCTTTAGACTGGTTATGTAGTAAGATTGCAACGATAAACCGTTTGAGGGTATACCGCGGTTTATTTTTCCATGGTTCAGTTCACCATACCTCAAACTGTTATCACAGTTCGGTTCAATCGATCTGTAATTATCCAAATTGTCTGTTTTGGTTCCTCATTTACAATTTTAAAATGGCTTCTGCATGAAACATGAGGTCAATGAAACTGCAGACATGGCAGTTAAACCTGTTTCCAGCCTCATATTTAACGGGTCGAATGATGTTATCACTTTCCCAGTGTTAGTTTAATGAACATTTGTTAAAACTTTTGAGTTGAAAGTATATGATTACAAACCTCTGACTTTTTAACACAATATCATGTCACGTACCGTAATACGTATCGTGAACTGAATACCATGATATGTATCATACCGTGGGGTAGGTGTTTCATTGCACCCCTATTATGTAGGCCTAACTTAGTTACTTACACTACGACGTCATTTGACTTCAGAGTCTATTACCTTGTTCACAAGGAGAGTTTAATTAATTCGCAGTAAATTATCACGAAGTAAGCTAATGCAAATCAAATTAATGCAAATCAAACTGTGTTCACATGACAGCTAATGCGAAGAAAACAAATGCGAATTAAAATTTTACTTCTACAGTCAGGCGTCAGTAAGGCTATTATGACATCTTTTACAAATCATGTCACCTAAAGCATTAATTTTGCCATTACGCATGCCTATGCGGTTTTACAAGCCTGATCTAAATTAAAACTGAATAAGTATCTGCCCTCACCCGAACAGTCGCACTATCAATATATTATTAGTTGAATATATACTGTAACTAACAATAAGTGTAGTTTGACTTATAGAGTATGATCACTATGATAGATAGTACGATTGTTGTGTTGGAATTTTTGCATTTTTGGTTTTGAAAGCGAGACTTGTTGAAATTACATACTCAATTTTTTTTTAAATAAAATATAAAACTGTGGGGATTTACAAGGCTAACAGAGAGTGTCTGAACTGTAAAACAGATAATATATTAGTGTGTCTGTGTATTTCTAATAATACCAGTGCTCTATTACTAAGCTGTCATGTAATCAGTCGTGTAAATTTTATGTAAAAAAAAATATTCTAACCTTCATTCCAATGGTCCAAGCCAATCATACATTAAAATGTCGCCGTCAGCTCTTTCATCACTCGATACAATTATCAGTGGGAAATCCGAAGCAGAGTCAAGAGTGTTCATCCTTGTTAATGTGACAGTTGGAATTTCCGCGTAAACAATTCACACAAGATTCTTAGAATGTATGAATTGGGATAAATCTGTTTAGAATAATGTTCCAGAGGAGTGACAAAGTACTTCGTAGCTGCAGATTAAATATGCGTGCATGTCTACATACGGCTTCTATGGTGAGAAAATGTTCACCTTCACAAATCATTTCTATTTTGAATTTTCAGTTTGTAAACATGTGTGTCCGACGTCGACTCGATGGGACACACTAAAATCGGGATATACTAGAGACCTGATATTTACCTGACGTTTTAATTTTTAATTAAATGATAATATTAAGTATTTTAAATTACTTATGTAAAGACTTTATGACTTTGATGCATTATGCTACACAAAAATTCAATTGCTTGGAATATTTACAGACAATTTTGAATCAGGTCAAATCAATTTTTAGTACATCGCGTCTTTAGTACCTTCCTATTTCCCACAATGCCGCGCGTTGTTTACAAACAAGAGACCCGAAAAAAATCCTCTAAACTAATTATTGTTGTGTACATCACCACATTTTAAAATTATTTGAATAAAAAGAAAACAGAGAAACACCGTAGCAAAACTATACCTTTCAAATGCATCAACTAAAACTGTGCACATGCAGTAAAGGCTTGGCTGACTATAGTAGACAACTTGTTCCTGAAAGGTTTCTCACATTTTCTCACATTGTTTAATTAAAAACAATTAAATATAGCTTGAAGTTTATTTCTTTTTATATCAAATGACAAGATTTAATAAGTTCGAAATTATTTCAGTCAAACTTTTTCATAATATGACAATATTTTTAGCTACCAGAAAAAAACGTGTATGAGCTATTAACCCTTAATTATAGGGGCCAGCCCCTTTTCATTAATCTAATATGAAAGCTCTCGTAATTACACACAACTTTTGTTATATATTTCTTACCAAATTATTCTCGGTTCAAAAGTTATTACACAAAAAGTAGCAAAAATTCGAGGAAAAAAATTACTAAAATTTGCCGTTTTATAGCTTCCAAACTTTAAGAAATCAGCTTATAATTTTATTGTTCTGCACATCTACAATGTATTGGCTACAAGTTCTCCAACTTTCGTGTAAATATCTTATGTCGTTCTTGAGATTTTTAGTGGAAACGAGACATCAAAATTATCAATTAAAGGGCAATAACTCACAAATAAAGGCATGCATCAAAAAATTGAAAAAGGTGTAAATAGGTTTAACTACAAGGTATCTAACCTGAAAGTTTCATAAAAATCAGTCCAAAGGTCTTTGAGAAATCGCCTGTCAAAAGTCGAGCGGGGAAAAAAAAAGATTAATAAGAAACAATAGAATAACAGTAGGGTCTTCCGAAGGAAGCGGAAGACCCTAATAATAGAAAACAGAAGAAAAACAATAAGGTCTTCCGAAGGAAGTCGGAAGACCTTAATAATAATAATAATAACTAGAAACGATCTCGTTGCGAGCAACGAGAGGTCTTCCGTCCGATTTAGGGAAAAAAAAACCTAAAATCGAGCTGAAAAGTGATAAAAAAAAATTTGGTCACAAAAGAAGATTGAACCCAGTTTGTCAGCGTGAAAATCCAACGCACTTTTTTTACCTTTTTTTATTCCCAACGCGCTTGAATTACGCTATTGAGTCACTGCTCTAAATGTACTTATATATACTTCTTCAACAATAAACTTGTCTAAAAAAAATACGAAAGGCGTGGTACTATTAATAATTTCGCGCCAAACGCCACGAGTAAATCTTCGCGCCTTTTCTTTGGAATATTCCATTAAATAGGTATGATAGCTTCAATAAAATTATGAAAAAGGAACGTTCTTTAAGCCTAAATTTCGAGGTTTAGAAAGTATATTTAACGGATTGTACATATTTTATATCTAATATAGGTTAGTAACACAAAAGAACTGAAATGGTAATCATTTTTAACTTTTTTTTTATTTCCCGTTTATCCCCAAATTGAACTAACCCGATTCGTTACACCTTCATGAAAAGGTAGACATGGTTCGCTGAAAGACATGTCTCGCCCTACGACGGTCAAGGAATCATATATCATTTATGTTCAATGTTCAGTGTTCAACTTTAAATATCTTTGAGAAAAGAATGTTAATATAAACTTAATTAAACGGTCTTTTAAAATATGATTTTCTTATTTTTGTCTCTTCTGTTTGTTTAATATGACACAAGTGTGCATGGGAAAAACAGTGGTTACGTTTTATACTTACTATATACATCGATATTGTTTCCTGAAAAACTATTACTTATAACCATGATTTAAAATCTGTTTTTCTGTCGTGCAAAAACAAATGATAGTAGGTATCTCTCATATGCATATTCAGTCTTTTCTTTTTCTACTTTGAGAACCAGCCAAAACCAATAATAGAAAACGTTTGAAAAAACCCTGGAATAAATCTTTAGTTTTATACAGAATTGTAACGTTATTACTACGTGACAATCCAGTAGTCTTTAACCTTTCATTTATCCCTAATCTTAATTTCGTTAAAGCAAACGCTTGGATGCCTCCATAAACCCCTACTCGCGAAATGGCGGAGTTGACAGAGACAGCCGCCATCTTCATCCCGCTTCATATTTTCAAATATTAATATCTAGAGTTCAGATTAACCAATATTCAAACAAATTATATAGTAAGCTCTATTGAAAGGGTCTCTATTATCATTCCAAAAAGAAATGAAAAATATTGAAAATCAAAAAAGTTAGAAAATTCGATTTTTTATCTTCGCAACTCCTTACGACAGGAAGTACTGACGACGAACGAATTGTCGCGTCCTAGATAGTAAATATCACGATTTATAATCCCTGAAAGTTTCATGTTGATATCTTTTACCGTTTTTGAGTTTAATCGTGGACAAAATGTCATTTTAATTTCAGGAAAAGTCCCGTAACTTGGCACCGGAAGCGAGTTTTCAAAAAATCTCTCGGAAAAAATAACTTCAGATAACAACACATTAATCCTGTAAATTTCATGAAAATCCGTCCAGTAATCTTTGAGAAATCGCGTGCACAAAATTTGATGTACGGAAAAATAATAATAATAATAATAATAATAATAATAATAAGAAACAATAGAATCACTATAAGGTCTTCCGTGAAGACGGAAGACCTTAATAACTAGATACGATCTCGTTGCGAGCAACGAGAGGTCTTCCGTCCGATTCAGGAAAAAAACTTGTAAAATCAAACTAAAAAGTGTTTCAAAATTTTGATCACAAGGAGGAGTGAATCCAGGTCGCCAACGTGAATGCGCCTTTTTTTCTCTCTTTTCTCCCCAACGCGCGAACCATTTAGCTATTGAGAATACTGCTTTAAGCGTAAATATTCGCACCTTTTCTTTGTACTGATCTATTAAAGAGGTACAATAGCTTCAATGAAATTAATTAAATAAAACATTCTTATCACCTTTATTTTATTTCGGCGTTAGGAAAGTATATTTAACACAATACATATCGTATCTAGCCCAGTAACACTAAATCAGTGAAACGTAAATTAAGTTTTTTAAGATTGACACTGAATTGCAACGTACTACTACGTGAGAGTCTAAGTAGTTTTTTGCATTTCATGTATCCTTATGTCAGAATGGTTTAATCAAACGCTCAGCTGCCTCCATAAGCCCCTACTCGCGAAATGTCGGAGTTGACAAGACGGCTGCCATCTTGGGCCCGCTTCAGATTTTCAAATATTAATATCTAGAGTTCAGATTAACCGATATTAAAACAACTTATATGGTAAGCATCAATAGAAGTGTCTCTATCAATCTTCCAAAAATAAATGAAAAATATTGAAAAACAAAGAAAGTTGAAAATTTGGACATTTTGAATTGGCTTCCGGTAGCGACAGGAAGTACTGACGACGAACGAAAAGTTGCGTCCTGGAAAGTATTGATCATCATCTATAAACTCTGAAAGTTTCACATTGATATCTTTTACCGTTTTGGAGTTTAATCGTGGACAAAATGTCATTTTAAAATCAGGAAAATGGTCCAAAACTTGGCACCAGAGAGGAATTTCCAAAAACTGTCTTGGAACTTTCAAGAGTATCTTACAACACATCTTTCCTGAAAATTTCATGTAATTCTATCCAGTAGTTGTCGAGAAATCATGTCAGAAAAATAATAATAATAATAACTAGAGCAAAGCTCGTTGCAAAGCAACGAGTAGGTCTTCCGTTCTGTTTGACCGGAAGTAGCTTTCATTTTTAACAAAAATGAGAAATAACGCCTAAAATGGTTAGACTCCTCTAAAGCCACGTTAATTAATGCAAAAATAAGCTATTTTTGGCTACTTCCGGTTTGACCGGAAGTGACGACGACGGATGAAAAATTAGTTTTTATGCTCCCAGAGACATATGTTACCCAAAAACTTGTCAAGAAATGCAAAAATACGCGTTTTCCGACTACTTCCGGTTTTACCGGAAATGACGACGCCGGACGTATTTTGACGACTACGATAGATTAAGGTTGACATTTTGAACAACTTTGCTTCTTTGACGTATTACAAATTCTCAATACGTTTTGAGATATAAAGAAAAAGCTTTCGGCCCCTCTAGGCCCTTAATTTTAGGGGCCAGCCCTTTTTACGAGATATCTTTGGAAAGATCTTAAAGTTCTACACTTCTTTTGTTCTATATGCTTTCACAAAATATTTCCAGGTAAAAAGCTATCGTAGAAAAGGTGTTAAAAATTTTGAAATTTGCGATAGGTCTATTTTCGGGCCATAGCGAGCGCCGACGTGCGGTACTTCCGATAAAAATTAAATACATTCCGCAAATCTACAGACATAGGTCTACCATACCTGAAAGTATCATGTGTCTATCTAAAGCCGTTTAGGAGAAATTGTGCGGACAAACCGACCCTCAAAAAACCATTAAAATGCTTATAACTCCCAACCGGAAGTGACGTCATCAAAACAGAAAAAAACGCATAAGGTTCAAGTGATGTAACATAAGACCTGAAAGTTTCATGGAAATCCATCGAGCCGTTTTTGAGAAATCGCGTGCACAAAATCGGTAAGAAAAAAAACAATAATAACTAGAGCAAAGCTCGTTGCAAAGCAACGAGTAGGTCTTCCGTTCTGTTTGACCGGAAGTAGCTTTCATTTTTAACAAAAATGAGAAATAACGCCTAAAATGGTTAGACTCCTCTAAAGCCATGTTAATTAATGCAAAAATAAGCTATTT